TGTCCTTCTCAGGCGATTCCCGGCTGCGTATGATTCTAGGACGAGACCCAACCGAGCCGGATTTCGTGCTGGACGGGGATGTGCGAACCAGGTATTCACAGTGAGGGGCATTCTCAAATTTCGTCATGGCAACCAGTAACCGATGACCGTCTGCTTTGTTGACTTTGACGTTGCGTTCGACTCCGTCCATCGTAAGTCCATGTGGCGGATGATGACAATAGATAGTGAGCCACCAAAAATCATCGCCTTTTATTGTTCCACCACCGCGTGAGTTCTGGCCCACAACAATTTTTCCTAACCGTTTGGTATTCGGTCTGGCGTTCGACGGGGTTGTTTCCTGTCACCCATTCTGCTCAACTACTCTATTGACCGGATTATCGGGAGGGCTCTACAGGATGGAGATGTTGTTGAGTTTGCCCCCGGCAGCCAGCTGACTGAGCCCGAATATGCAGATGATATCGCCTTACTTGCCTCAAGTTTTCGTGATCTGCAGTTTATGCTGTCACGGGTGAACAGGATCCTCAATCGGTCGGTTCATCGATAAACGTTGGGGGGACTAAAGTTTTTTAAGCTGCATTCCTGACCAGACGTGGGCACCTCTCGAGATTGATTGCTGTCGACTTGAAGAAGTAAGCAGTTTTAAATATCTCTAGGCGAGACTAATACATAATGGCCAGAGTAAGGATGACATTGTCTCCGGAAATGATGCAGTCCAAGGGGTTTTATTAATCTTAAGAATATGTCTATGGACCCGACGCGACCTCTTCATCGCAACTAAGACCCGTGCGTACCGTGCGTCTGTCCGGTCTGTCCTTCTCTACGGTTGTGAATGCTGGGCTCTGCGCATGGAGGACGAAAACTGGAGGTATTTGACCGCCACTGCTTGAGGACCGTCCTTAGATTGAAGTACACCGACTTCGTCTCAAAGGAAACAGTCCGCGCTCGCTGCGACAACATCGCGAGCACTATTTAGGCCATCATTAAAGGTGACTGAGGTGATTCGTGCATATTCTTCGTCGTCCACCCAGGAACTCAGTGTTAATGTCCTCGATCCGGCACCTTTACCCCATTGGAGGCTTCGACGAGGGGGTCAACTCTAAACCTGGCTCGACACAGTTCGTCAAGACACGGAGGTGGTTCTTGGACCTTCGGTATTCGGTCTCCGTCGTTGGTAAAGAGAATGATTTGAACTGCCTGGATCTGCTGCCGTGGACCGTCACGCGTGGAGAGGTGCAGTTCGGGACATCATAGAGGCCAGCTAGATCGGGTGTGATCGCAGTAGTACCAAGTACAAGTATTACAGGTAAGTACAAGCATGATTTGTTGGCGTCATCAAACTTAGTGACCTCTTCTTCAACTGCATGAAGTCTGTACATATTAACAAGACAAGATGTTCCGCTAGAAAATTACCCAAAGCGACGAAACGTGGAAGGGAAATAAAAGTATGGAAGTTTGATCTAGCAAGCGAGTGGGCATGGTGAGGAAGAGGGAAGTTATCTAGGTCGGCGATTTCAGGTTACAGCTAGAACTCCTCAAGCCTGATTACAACCGCTCATCGCGGGATAGTAATCAGTTATGTCGGGGGAGGAAGTGGAGAAGGGGGAGAGGATAGGGTTATTGGTGTCATTGATCCTCACCGTTGCAGTGCGAAGTTGATTACGTGGTCCATCTGCTTACACAGTCCTGTCGCTTTCCTTCATATTGCAGTGACTTATGCAAAGCATCAAAGACGTCCGGTCGCCACACGAAATAGAACCTTAAATATGGTTGTTGGACTTCCCGCATGGCCAGTTTCTACCAGTCGTTTAACAATTCAACTCTTAGGTACCTCATTTTCCGCCCTCTGTGGCCATGTTGGCATAAGTTCAGCTGACTGAATCGTTAATTACCTTTCTGTGCGTCCAGTGTATTTTCACTCGCGATTACATGTTAATTCATAGACACGGTTTTACAAAACGTGCATAGGCAGGATTTCTTTAACTGGTATTACTGGAAATGCCGTTGAAATGCACATGAACAACTAGAGGCGGCATGCGTCCGTTCAATCGTACCTGGAAGCCGTCGTTTTTGTCACGTTTAATACTTTTGCACTCTTGATACGAACATTTATGCTGGACTATTTTGTCTGGAATGGCGACATTCATTGATGAATTTCTCCGGGTGTCCGTTTACGAATAAGCGTCCTTCAGGAATAGGACCTCTTCATGGATCATATCTGAGAGAAAGATCCTAGTGACTCTGTTGAACAGGCATAGAACCAAATTTTGTTTTCTTCGAATTGGGGAGAAACTAAAAAAGTGCATATACTGTGCCTAACAGTTGATTTTTCAGTAGACGAATCTCTAGATTCAGCCGTCTGTACGCCTGCATATGAGGAGGTCTAACACGGGCAGTATGTCATTTTTCTCCTTTCGGATCGTGAATTTCACCTTTTTATATGGCACGTTCAGTAATCTCCGCACTTGAGGATGGGTGCAAGGGTCCCCGAGTCCGGCAGTAATTCCCCGTCTTTTGGGCTATTGACTAGGGCAACAATGTTATCTACATAACGTCTATAGAGTACGACTCGCTGTAAGTGTTGTGTTAATTTCCGTTTAAGTTTTGTGTGAGGGTGTCCGCTAAGGCGGGCCCCAATGGACTGTTCTGAGCTAAACCGTCGATTTTTGACACAAATGTCACTGAAGAAGAACTGTACGTTCGTAATCCATGTATTCAGTAGCTCCCGCAATCGTCCTGGCTACAGGCATTGTTTAGTAGCGTGTTCTCAAATTATGACAACAGTTTCACTCAGCGGCACGTTAGTAAACAGGCTCCGAACGTAAATCGGTATCATGTGTTTGTTTAGTAAATTTGAATCCGTCAGTTCATCTACGAATTAGAAGATATCTGATTTAGGCAGCAGGACTGTGTCTGAGTCGTTCAACTTGTTCGACTAACCACTAGGGGTGTTTACGCTGGGGTCAATTCCTCATTTTGTAATTTTGGTAGACCGTATGGTATGGGAAAAAGTGAACATACGGACCTACGATAATCAGCCATTTTCTAGTCCACTATTTCGTCTTAATTGACTGAGCCCAACTGAGTACGACGGAATTATTCTGCGCTCCAACTGGGACAATTTCGACTTGGTTACCATTCCACAGTTACAGTCTCTGACATTGATACTGGAACCGTACGTACAGAATTACTTTGTGCACTTTTGGAATATTTTTTCACGCATCGAAATTCGCCAGGAACCTGGACTAAGTGCAATTTGTTTATCAGCACGGTCCAACTGACAACGCAACTGGCTACGCAACCGATTCGCGGATATACAGCCTAAAAAACCAATCGCTCAAAATCCTTCAAGGTCTGCAGTTATTCAAGTCCCACGAGATCTGGAAAGGGCTAAGTCGCTTCTGATTAAATTCAGCAAAATTTATCGGATTTTAAGTATTTTTTCGCTTATTGAGTTTTGAATGCTCACTTTAATTCATCCTATATAAGCCGACGTATTCGTTATAACATCGAAAGCGAAATTATACCTATTATATCACGTCGAAGTTTATGGATTCTCAGCAAGCTAACTGTAGTAGTACGGCCAGCGACGGCACCTCTTTGGAAGATAAGCCCGGTGAGTTGTCCTTCGCATCCAGAACGTGTGCTCGCTCTACCTTCGCCTCCAGCCAACGACCAGCAAAGCGTGCAAAAAGCGTAAATACCGCAAAAAGTGTGAGGTACGAAGACGAGCCTTGTGATGGGTGCGCAGATATTCAAATCAAAGTAGAACAACTGGAAAAGGAGCTTGCTGATTTAAGGACGCTCGTGCAACAGACCGTAGTCGGCCAGAACGTGTCCAGTGTTAGAATCCCAAAAACGAAGAGCAAAACGCAAAAAAACGCGAAAAATATCTCCTCGGGGGAATCTTCAAACACGAGTAGCAACTCAACAGCCAAAACCGCAGACGCCGGTAACAGCAGGACAATGAAAATGAAGCCGCCGATAAAGGGAGACTCCATTCCCACGCACGATGTTTTAAGCGATGTCGCAAAAAAATTACCTGTCGCGGAAGCCATCTCACCTAAGCCTCTTGCTGTAAGTGGTGGGATTTCTGTTCTGCATGGAGACGATATACCTGGGTCATCCAGTCTACTGTTGCCCTCTCGTTCTGGCAACCACCCCGAGCGCACTACGGAGCACGTATCTGAATGCGAAGACATAAACCCGTGGGTAGAGGGGAGAGGGAAACGCCATGACAGGATTCTGAAGTCACAGTCAGCCCTGATGGGGTGCTCGGGACAGTCGGTAGACAGTAAAAGTGTGCGTACAAGCGATGACTCCTTAAATCGTCCTCGCCCACATGCAGCGCATTCACCGGAAAGACAGAGTAAGGAGGACCATGCTCGCCAGCAGTGTCTGGTTATTCAGGGTTTGTCAGAATCGAATGCAGTCAGACCTGAAGACCGTGTCTCAGAGGACCTTGCTTCTTTTCATGGTCTGCTTAATCATTTACTGCCGGCAGACATGGAAATAAAGGTTCTGAAAGCATTCCGGATAGGAAAAAGGTGTGAGGACAGGACAGTAGCACAACCATCTCGCCCTCTCAAAATTATGCTGGAGAACAAAGAGCAAATCAAGTTTATCCTCTCTAAAAAATCCGATCTCAGAAACACACACAAACAAGTTTTTTTTCAACCGGACTATTCACCAGCGGAACGGTTGAAACGCCGGGAACTTGTCTTGGAGTTAAAATCAAGACTGAAGGATGGCGAACACGATGTGGCTATCTTCAAGGGGAAGGTAGTTCGGAAATATATGCCGTTTCAGTGGAACCAGCCTGTAATACTACGAACGACGACAGCTACTCAGCTAAAACAGACACCTTCGTTGAACCACCTGATCAAGGCGCCAACACAAGTGAGCCCGTAGCGTCCAGTGATCTGACTGAAACAAGGCATGTAAATGGAACCAATCAGGTAACGGAAGAGCCTAGAGAACACGACGTCCGCAATAACGGAGTAATGCTCACAGCAGTAACAAATGCAACCGGAAATTCGGCTGGTGCTAAACTGAGGTGCTTGTACACGAATGCCCAAAGCCTCATATCGAAACTAGACGAACTAAAACTTTGCCTTGTTGAGCAGTCTCCAGATGTTTTAGCAGTAACTGAGACCTGGCTGTCTGGGAATATTAGCGATAACGAAGTAGCCTTGCCTGGATACCAAATTTATCGGAGAGACAGGGAACATCGTCAGGGTGGTGGTATCGTTGTGTATGTGAATGACGGTTTGGCAGTGTCGGATAACACCACCAAGTTTTCGTGCACTACGGAAGCTATCTGGTTGACCATCAAGGCTACCGGTTCCCCGTGTCTCGATGTCCTCACTGTCTACCGACCACCTAGGACAGATCGAATCGCCGACACTCAACTATTGGAGCAGTTGGAGAAATTTTCCAGTCGACCTAACATCATGATCATGGGCGACTTCAACGCACCCGGAACAAACTGGAATACCCTCCAAGCGTCAGGTCCAAAATCGTCATTCGATTATCGCCTGTTGAGCAAAACATTAAATGCGTGCCTCACAGAACATGTAATGTTCCCAACGAGAACACGTGAAGGACAAAGGGCAAACTGCCTGGATCTGGTCTTTACGAAAACACCAGACAGCATAGACGAGATCGCCTCCATGCCGCCCCTTTTTCATTTTCATTTTGCTTAACGGATTTCTAATCTCAAAAACTATGCATTGCACTTTGTGCAGATTTTGCCTACATCGTTTAAAATTTGCATGTAAATTTATTTTTACTTGCTTTGATGGGACCCCAACGGGTCTTTAATAAAATAATTGAATTGAATTGAATTGAATTGACCACGTAGTGCTTATGTGGGATTATTTGTTATTCTCCATTTCACATACTCCAGACCACAAAAGACGTAATGTTTGGCGGGGCGACTTCAATCAGATGAGGGCAGACTTATCCGGTCTTGACTGGGGCTCTTTGTTTACGGGAAGTGCCAACGATGACTGGGACCTGTTCAAGAATGTCCTTCTGCAGCTCATCAACAACCACTGCCCACTGACTAGTGTAAGACTTAACAAACGCCCTGGGTGGCTAAATAGCAACCTCAAGAAAGAAATCAACAGGAAGGACAAATTGTGGAGAAAATACTGCGTCACTAGACAAGCTGAATGCTTCAACACCTACAAGACACAGAGGAACAAACTGAGGAACCTGATCATAAAGACGCGGCGGGAATTCGAGAAGAACTTGCTACAAAAAGCAACGCAGAATCCAAAATTACTCTACAGTTACCTCCGACGAAGTACAAGGAAAAGGCATCAAATTCCCTTAATAAGGACTTCTGATGGCGTTGAGATTGCTAATAGTAGAGATAAAGCTTCGTATTTTTCACAGTTTTTCCAATCAGTCTACACAAACGAGGCAAGGTTCCTTCCTCCCTCCACAGAAGAACTGCCGACTCCAAGCGTCAGTGATATACTCTTCCCAGAAGGCATTGTCCGAAGAGAATTAGAGGCATTGAACGAATCGAAGTCGCCAGGACCAGACGAGATTCCACTCAAGCTTCTGAAGGAACTTGCCAGTGAGCTCTCTGTGCCTTTGTCGATGCACTTTCAAACGTCATTTGACACTGGAACACTTCCTATCGATTGGAAGCTGGCGCATATTACTCCGCTACACAAAGGAGGTAACAGGACAGCGATGACAAATTACCGGCCCATAAGCTTGACATGCATTCTCTGCAAAGCTATGGAAAGGATCATAAAGACTGAACTGATGCAATTCCTGGAAGTTCGAGGCCTGCTATCGAAATGCCAACATGGGTTCCGAAAAGGAAGATCCTGCACGACAAACCTGCTGCAATCACTCCAGAGCTGGACCCGAGCTCTCGACGACAGGCACGCGGTCCACATAGCCTTCATCGACTTCCAGAAGGCTTTCGACACTGTGCCACACAAAGGCTCTTACATAAGCTGAAAAAATAGGGATCGGTGGCAACTTCCATAAATGGATCGAAAACTTCCTTGTGGGTCGACACCAGGTTGTGTGCGTCGGTCGGGGAAAATCAGATCCGGCTATGGTCGAGAGTGGTGTCCCCCAGGGTTCAGTACTGGGACCCATTTTGTTCCTTATCTACGTGGACGATGCCGCAAGAGATTTGGACTGTGAAGTAGCAATGTTTGCGGACGACATGAAGATATGGAGTGTAATTCGTGGTCCTGCCGATGAAGACAGACTGCAGATGAACCTGAATCGGTTGGAGGAGTGGTCAAACCGTTGGCTTCTGCGGTTCAACGTTGCCAAATGTAGCATACTTCGCTTAGGAACACAGCCAGATCCGCCAGCACAAGAGGGTACTTTCTGGGTGGTGCAGCCCTACAAGAGGTCGAAGCCCAAAAGGACCTCGGTGTGCTTACGACGAGTTCCCTAAAACCATCCGCCCACTGTTCGAGGGTAGCAAAAACCGCAATGTCCGTACTGTACGCCATCAAGCGTGCGTTTATGGACTTTGACGAAGAAGCCTTCTCTAAGACATTCGGAACATTCGTCCGGCCTCATTTAGAGTACGGCATACAAGCTTGGAGGCCATGGGCTGTTGTGGATCAAAACTGCCTCGAAAGAGTCCAGAGGAGAGCCACGAAGATGGTCAGGGGTCAAAGCTCCTTTCCTTGTGCGACCCGCCTAGTAAATCTGAACCTCTTTCCTTTGAGTTACAGGCAACTTCGCGGAGATCTCTTGCAAGCCTTCCGCATTGTAAAGGGGTTGGATTGCAGTCTGGCCTTCGAGGACTTTTTTGAATTTGCTACCACGACCAACCTCCGAGGTCACCCGTTAAAACTGCGCACTCAGCAGGCACGGCTGGATGTGCGGAAGTTCTCCTTCTCGGTTCGGGTGGTCAAACCGTGGAATGAGCTTCCCGCAGATGTTGTGATGTCACCATCTATACAAAGTTTTAAGAAGAATCTGGACATATTTATGTTCGGAAATGACCAAGAGCGATGAGAAGTCGAGCTCACCCCTGTAACTCCTTCTCATTTTGTCCCACCATTATGGGCGTGTTCTAACTATTTCAGCCCAAAACATCTATCTGTACACCACACATTTTTTACGTTGCAAATAGGGTACTCAAAGGCTTACGCCTATTTCCCTCAATAAACTGAACTGAACTGAACTGAAGGTGACTACTTAACTTTCCCCAGTAAGATCTTTCAATAAATTTGTTTCTTCTTTCTAATGGGTTTTAGAGGAGAGCTTGCTGGGACCGCTCGGTGCCTCTTCCATCTTAATCGCCTAATCGGCAATCAGAAGAAGAGGTCACGAAATTCTTTTATGTCAATGAGTTCTGTATGATTCACCGCCTTTGCTCTGCATGAATTTATTCACAGAAAACAATGTTTCAGACGTCCATTTTGCAGCGCACAATACTCCTGTAGCAATCCGCGCCTTCTAGCTCTCCATCGTTTTGCCACGCTGCCCTCCTGTTCACCTCACATTCACTGTCGAGTCGCTGCTGCTGGGCAAAAGGCTTTGTAGACGCCGAGTCGTGCAGCGTTTGTTGAGGCTTGTAGTCTTGAAATACTGCGGTCGGGGGTTTTGGCTCCAAAGGATGCTAAAGATATTACATTTAGAAGTTGCGTTATGTCTTCATTTACACAGGCAAGGGACAGGGGCGGTGAAGATGTCGTAACAAACGAATAGATCGAAAATGATTTAATACCGAAACGTAACGAAAATAGAGGGGAAAATAAAACTCGGGTGGATCTAACTCTGATAGTAGGCAACGGGATATGCAAACGCTAACAACTCAGTATTATGTGCGACACTCAATGTAATAATAGGAAAAACGTAATGATAAGCAAAATAGGAATAAAAGTACAAAAATAGTCGGATCGTAAGAGGATACACGAGAATGGGGACTAATCGGAAGGTCGTGATGAGAAGCGTTAGTTTTTGCCCACGTAATCACGGATTCTGAAAGGGAAGCCGGAACGAAAAAGCGCAGTTTATAATTCAGTATAATTCATTATATATGAGGGATAGAGGTAGAGCCTTGGAAAACCCTATTTACGTATGAAAAAACATGCAGATATTTACATAGCAGTTATACCAGTCCTTGATATCATGTAAATGTTTGACCATCAAGCATAAATTTATCTAGTCTTCTTTTGAAAGTGTCGATGTTTCCCGCCAAGACAACGGAGTTCGGCAATTTGTTCCATCCCTCAACCAGCCGTTGGGAGAAGAATTTGGCCCGCAATTGTCCGTTAGAGCTCGTCCCTAGCTTCGCGAGCGCTCGAGGCCAAGCAACGCTGTCCGTGCTCTGATAGACTGGTGACACTGAGACAGAGCGCAAGGCGCACACGCGCCGGGATCTAAGCACCTCAACGGCGGACACGAAACAAAAACAATTTACTTGGTGAGACCTCTCACTGCGACTGTTTGCAGAGCCTTTGTGTACGCTCTTCCTCAGTAGTAAAAGTTATCCAACCCAATTCGTCTTTCCTGACTTCTAATACTGGAAGCTCCGTCTTGTCGAACATACCATCCCGGCACTCCCATTGTGTTTTGCACGTTTAATACATCGCGGTGAAGGTTGCAGACTCTCCTATGTCCAGGCACCGATATTCTTCAGCGACGATTCCATGATAATTTGAGTGTCTTTCGATTACTATGTTATCACACGGTAGTTTCAGTCGTAGTTGATTGGACACCGATGGAGGGCGGCACACGGTTGCACCCTAAATTCTAAAAGTTATCTCTTGGACCACGTTTGCACTCGATGCAGATTGCTCTGAAAGGCTTTAAGGTCATTACCGCATTCAAGTTCCTGGGGGATTTCATTGACACAATGAATTAAAAAACAGTGTCCTAGAAAAACTTCGAGGAACAACGTAAATCACGTTCACCCAGCCTGATTTACTGTCTCTGATACACACGCCTTGTTTTCCACCAAACAGAAATGCCCTTATCCAGTTCAAAAACTTTGCACTGATGCAAAGAACGCCTAATTCGCGGAGGAGATGTTCATATGAGGCATTATTAGGACTTTCCAAAATCGTTGTACACTACAGGTACTTCGGAGCCTTTTTCCAGAGCACTAGTCAAACCTCCTTAAAAATCAACGAATTCAAGAGGTAGGAACTTTCTCGCTAAGAATCATGCTAAATATTCTGCATGGAGCAATCTTCATCAGAAAAATGTACTAAAGCCTGCCTTACAAGGATTTCCATGGTTTTACAAGAAAGATAAGTTAAGCTGACTGGCTTCAAGGTGTTTGCAAGCATTTCCCTTCCACAGCAAAGGCAAGCACCCAGTATTTGTTGACAACTCAAACAGGAATAAAAAAAGGCATTGCCATCTCTGCCAATAATGCCTTATTGCAAATTGTTTAGGACTGTCCGGCCGAACGATAACCAAAATTGGTGTTTACTGAGAATCAGTCCTTCAAACTAAATGAAAGCCCTGGCAGTTCTTGAAGTCTCCCCTCTTCTATGTTCCACCAGGTAGACCGTAATGAATTGACTTTTAGCAGTCCTCCATCTATGCATCCAGTTTCCTGCTATTGTCAACGAAATGACTAAGAAAACTCCGTTCTAACGGTCTTTTTTATCTTCCTTTATCTGCCTTCTCATGTGACTGGCTTGCAAAGTGTACCTATAGAAGACGTTATAACTAAACTAGAAAGGATATAACTAGTTAGATAAAAATACAATCTAAGAAAGAATGGGTGGCGGGTAAAGTGAACGGTTGATGCCTAAGGATCTACATATCTGGCCGATTTTTCCCCTGTGTATTATCTACGGCTTTAGAAGATAAGACTTGGAAAGAGAGTTGGGCTTGAGCATAAGAATTACGTTCGCAAATGAACTCCAATTTTGGGGAGTGACCTTGCAATTAGTGTGATGAAAATCTACTGCAGACCGCTCCCTTGCTATGACTTATTCTCCCTGATTGTACCTGATGTAATCCATTGTAGAGACTCAGGAACCAGTGCCGGATGAGGCCACAGGGAACGACGCTGATTGAACGGTGGAGAATTCCGGTGTTCTCGTTGAGTGCGTGGTCTGGTTCTCCGTTGCCTGGTCCAGTCCCGAATGAGCCTTCCCTTATCTTTAAGCGTTTTTTGTTGGTACGGTGCGCTGTCCATTCGCTCACTACAGTGGGACTGAGGGTTGATACGTGGGCATTGGCGTGTGCGTAGGGGCTAGTGATGTAAGGCAGGCTTAGTTCTAGGCGATTTGTTAGGTAATACGATTAGGGTCATACTTATGGCTTAGGAGTTAGGGGCTAATGCTAAACCCTGGTTTAGACTTCGATGCAGAATAATGGGTTTATTGTTATCATTAGTTGAAGGGCTGCGGATAGATTAAATTGTGAAAAGTGGGGGTTTAGACCAAGGTTTTGGGATTCAAACAAGCGACTAACGCTGTGCCTTGAGACTGAGTCACAAAGACCTGTCGAATCCTATAAAATTTGACGTACTTAGTAATATGGGTTAGGAGTCAGCAGGTGGGACATAGTGAGCCCTCCAGCTCAGGACTAAGAGTTGGCGTCTAGCTTTCCGGCTTTACCTCAGTTATAGGTTTGACATTAAGAGTGAGGTGATTGCGTACGAGTCTTGGTTTGGATTAAATATAACAGAATAGGCGTCAATGGTTTGGGAGTGAGCAGTAGAATTTGGCTCAAGTTTCTGACAGTATGTTGGTGTTTTGAGTTTGACCTAGAATTAAGCTCTAGTGGTTGCGATTACTCGGATAGCACATCCCCGTCAAAAGAATGGGACCAAAGTGGTGTCACAGGGACCATGTGCAGTCCAAGGGTCGTTAGTCATTTATTTTTTAGCACGGTATTCAGTAATACTATTCTCAAAATGAATTTACTTACCAACCAAAACGCCCCTAGAAACACCAGAAATAGCGAGGATATTATAAAGATTCCCAAATTCACAAAGTCCCAACGATCAAATTTCTACACCATAAGATATGCGACTATCTGGAATTCTCTTCCAGGTTATATCCGGAAAAGTCGAACCCTAATCGAATTTAAAATAAAAACTAAAAAATTCCTTTCAAATAACAATACACATTTATTTTTGAATAAGATAGGACACTTTTCAAGTCAATTCCTTGATATTGAATTTGGTCCAAAAGGGCTCTGATGATGCCAGCCGATTGAAAAATACCGGAACATAGCACTAAAAATAATCAAATTTATAAAAGATAGCATCATTGATTAACATAAAACAGATAATGATATTCCTCTATTTTCCTCCCTTTCTCGTTTTCATCAGCTATGTCACCTGACACTAAATATCCCTTATAAAGCTAATAAAAATATACCCTTCGATAAAACCCTGCATATTAGTCGTGCGTATGTCTATATTAAAGCCATATTAAACATATAAAGAACTATATTAGGTCATAGTAAACAGTCGACCACTACTCCTATAATTTCACATTAACAAGAACAATATGATACATGATTCAATAGTATTTTGACAGTTTTGATTGTGACTTACCATTGAATGCTTCTTACTCCTGATATATATTCATCTTTTCCAGCTCTTAGTCCAGACAACGATGGTAAGCCTCCTGAAAAAATACGTAGGAACTGCGCGACCGCCCCCTTACAGCTGGCCAGATAGACTGACAACCAGCAACTAGAGCAAACCGAAATTTACCCAACAGGAAAATAATTTCAAGGTCAGGCCGATATCAAAGTTCTTCAATTGCCATGAAGGACATATTATTCATGCCCTTTATATTGTACATATCGTTATTTTTTGAAAATTTTGTTATTATTTTCCCTTAGAACTGAGGTTTTTTTTAACTTAAAACAAACTCTCAATTCGCGCTCTTTTGGCTAACCAGACACCCGAAGCAAATGAAGTCAAAGTGCAGTTGAAATTGACGAGTTTGCTTTAGGTTTTTTTCCTGAGTTCAAAGGGGACTGACAGTGCCCAAGGGGCGCTACAATAAACCTATTCTACTAAAATTTTCGAAGTGCACACACAGCGAATCAGCCCATAACAGTAATTGTACAAGTAAACTGCCTCCCGTTATCTGTTTTCGGAGGACTATGTTGTGGTTGGACGTTCGTCGAAATGCCACATGCTGGCCTTGTTGTTCCGACCTGTCCATACGGCGTAGGTAACTAACGGCATTCCGACAGATGCACCAATTCACTCCAATCGTCCGAAAACAAGTAGCAGTGAGTATTCGGCTTGCAAAATTGCTCCTAAGAGAAGATCTACAAAGAAACGTATCTATACTAACGATAATGCAGAAAACTCACAAAAAGTTTGAATATTTACGCCAGAAATTAAATTTCAACTTCGTCCATAGAGGTGGCTATGTTATTAGCAGGGTAGGAGTAATGTTAGAGACTGGGAGAATGGCGGGGGGGTCAAAGTTAATATTTGGGTATGCCATTGAGCGTTAAAGATTTAATTTACAAATACGACTGCAGATTTGGTTCAGGGATAGTGATTTGGGGGGGGGGGGGAGGGGGTCAGAATTAGAGGCTGGGGCCAACTGTAAGTGTTAAGCTTAGGATTACGACGTCATGGTTGACAATTGACTAAGTCTTGCGTGAGCGGTTGACAGTGAGGCCGCGGTTAGACTGCAAGTATAGATTTGGGGATGGGCGCCTTCTGTTATCTATTGCTTCAAACCTAAGTTCTTATTTTGAGGGTCATCGTACCGCTTAATATAAACGCTTTGGCGAAGCTTGGAATTAATAAAATTTCAGATAACTCTTCATCAGGCCAAAACGGTTACAAAGAAGTTTAAGTTATGCGAATTACATGACTTATAAATGATTCGGGGACAATTAACATCCATCGTTCCCACACCAATCGTCGTTCACACGCCACTCGCATGACGAGGCGTGCTATGTCGTGGTCGGCGTGTCGTGGTCATTGGGTTAAGGGGACGAGGGAGAGGGGGGTCATAGGCTGTGAGTACGTCGGGTACCTTGTGCACACACCCTGGCATCGGGAGGTTGGAGCGACTTTGGGGTCGGCGTCGGCCACGGAAAACAGAGCGCCTGTGTCAGAGTCTTCTGACAGCATAACACCCGTTGGCGTAGGCCTCTGGTGAAGCTTGCTGGTGTCCGGTAGACAACCTGAAAGGCTTCTTTGGTATTGAATCGGTGATTCGTATCGACAAAATGTGCGAGAATAGAACTCGAGATCGATTTCTTCTCACCTTTGCCTAGCCAGGCCGGTATGTGTTCACGTACTCTCTTTTCCATGCACCGCGTTGTGCAGCCAGTGTATCCCGCTTCACAGGAGCAAGTGAATGAATAAATACACATCTACCTCGCCCCCTTAACTCAATGACCACGACACGCCGAACACAACATAGCACGCCTCGCCATGCCAGTGGTGTGGGAACGATGATTGGTGTGGGAACGATGAATGTTAATTGTCCCCGAATCATTTATAAGTCATGTAATTCGCATAACTTAAACTTTGTTATAACCGTTTTGGCCTTATGAAGAGTTACTGAAAACACGTGTTCGCCAATTTTACTTTTCAATTGTAACATGGGAATAGTCGCTGAAATTTCTGATAATTACGGAAATGTAAACAGTTGATCAGAGTTCCTTGAGTCAAATCTCAGGGTAAGGGGGGCATTCTTTGTTGCCCTTAGCAACAGAATCATCAAATAATCTGTAGTGAACAACCACGTTGAGAAATGTAGGACGAAGGCACTGGCATTAACTGATGGTTCTAAACTTGTCAAAAGAATGGTGGCATGTTCCCACAGTATAGGAATCCCTCATTTTATGCGGCGCGTTTTCGAAAATGTTGATGTTATTCTGCAATGTTGGCCTCGAAAGATTAACGCACTAATCTCGAGCACCACACTCTCCTATGGAAAGTCGCGGATTTTGCTAGACTGTATTTCGACCGGAAAAGTCAAAATGCCAGGCTCTTGAGACGTAAGCGTTCCAGTCACCACGTTTTGTCCGACTTTCCTTTCTTCCATATAGGATTTAAACAAAAGTTAATGTCCATGTAGATAAAATAATCACGGGCTAGGTTCGGACCGGCCCTTAGTTTGCAAACTCGTACACCGATCGGCCTTTTCTCCGGCACCGTCTTGATTTCTATAAGCCACAATCGTTAACATGTTGAAATTGGAAACTCAGTTTTCCTAATTTTTGTCTGTATTTGGCCGCAGGCCACAGTGACAAGTAGCCTATTAAATACAGAACAGTCAAGGCACCGCCGTACACTTCGCGACCTATCGAAAGAAGATCATGGTCGAACTTCGCACAAAAATCCTTATAGCGCACAGGTCGGTCGTTCTGCATCTACGAAAGTACAGTCCGCTTAAGAAACGACTGTTGTTAAAAAGAGAAAATCACTCGGTTTATAGATTACTATTATTATCTAAGAAATATCTTATGTTATGGAAAGCCATAAAACCAAATGACGACTTTATGAAAGGTTACTCGTTTAAGGCCTAATGTTGCTGACGACAGAGAAGGAAAATACAATACTACGAGAAAACAATGAAAAACATCAACAAACGCAACATAACGATACTTCGTTAATTGCCCTTTCGCACGCAAAACAACCGTATGCCGCACGGACATAGAAACTACCAAGCTATCTACAGTGGACTGGTCTATAGAATGATTAAGCACAAATTCCGTGTTTCATTGCCTTATCCTTATTTCTTTTGGCTAACGCAAAAGGACTTTCGGTCGGATTGAGTTCGGGGCTGTTAGTAGGAATGAAAATACATCGCAGACCGCAAAGCGATATGCTGGTTGCGGTCTAAAAACTGGATTTTTGTCGTAAGCTAGATTAGAGTAATGCTTTATTTGAGCTGTGAACATGAGCACTATCCTGCAATGTTACGATGCCCATCCAACGTCGGTGACTGTCGCCGCAGTCAAAGGCATTTGTTGTAAAGTCGATGAACACCTTTCTAGTGGTGGTCTCCGTTGTTGACTGTCAGACTGCTCGCCCTTCGAATTTGATGGCCATCCAAACCGTCATACGTTGGTAGTTCTTAAAAGTTGCTGTCGTCAACGCGCTCTCAGGGGGAGGTTCCTATTCCCCGAGTTTGGTCTTTCCGGTCTTGATGGGTTGCCGTTTCCTGGCTAAGAAACAGCTGAGAACTTTTATCACCGCTGACCTCTCTCTCATTTTATTATCACACACTTGTCGTGTACCATCGACTCAAAGTCTTCCGAGTGATTTATTTTCCCAAAATTTTACGGCGTTTAATTTATTGCAGATATTTCGAGAACTATACCTTGTGATATTTATTCTCTACTAGAACTGTCGTCCAGTCAGAGGTGGATTAGGCCCGTGAGTTGATTCTGTACGAAGCACTGCACACCGCTCCGTTTCCCGCCTCTTTAAATAACTTGTCCGGTATATGACAAATGTACCCTCTACCATGGTATCATGGTTTTTTACCACGTGCACTTGCTGAAAAGCGTCTCACAAAGGATGGGTCTTTTCTTGTGTACAATACGCCTGAGTCCCCCGACTCGATGCTTCTTTGCGTTAAGTGGAACGGTCAGTTTCACAATGTTCCCATCCAATCTAAAAACCTCGCGCAACCAGGAAGTACTCCCTCTTACGGCCTAGGAGGGCCTCATTTCAGCTCACTTAACGAGCTCATCTCCTACTACAAGGATAACCAGCTGCCCATCGACTTGAAATCTGGGGCTATTCTTTTCACACCAGTGCTCTCTCAAACGAAACCGACTTCAGTCGAACGGAGTTCGGATGGGGTGATTCCCGTAGTATCGAAAACTAGGGACCTTCGGTCGTCAGACTCAGACTTATCAATCAACCGCTGCCCCAGTGCTGGCACCTACAACGTTCAATGTAATAAAGGCCTCTGCCGTCGTCCTGCCACCAGAGCTTTCAACGAAGCACGAAGTCTGCACAATTTAACGGACTTGTCTCACACACACTTAGCCGACTTTAGTGGACTTCGGAAAGGGGAACTCTTCGCTACCTGTATCTCTGACGGTGAGGGCAAAAGTTCAAACACCGTGAGTTCCTTATATGCTTGATATCCTTAAAGTTTTAGTTGCGTAACTTCGCACCGTCGTCAAGAAGCTCACATACTTGCGATTTATAATCAGCAAAAGCAACGTAGAGTGAAATTCACATGTGGAGTTTCTGTTTCATTGTGGTGTTTTCCTGTCTCCGCGCGTTTAAATAGGCTTTTTGCCTCAGGGCCTAATTGCTTCCGCCGATAGAAGGATTCCTCTTTGGTGGGGTTTTATTGAAAGCAGTTAAGATGTTTTTCCGCAACTTTAGCGTCCAGGTTTGTGGTCGCGAAGAGGACTTCAGATTTGGACTTATTTTTGTATTCGTTGCTCAATGTTTGCAAAAAGATAATGCAGTCTTAGAACAGACTTCCATATTTACAAGGGAATTCTGAAATTGGACTTTTTTAGTCGAACAGTCTTTTATATCGACGCGTTTTTTAAAATAAAATGGGAGCCTTAGTAACCACCACTTCCGCTTACGTGCAACCTCCACCTCGCAGGCCCGACCTGTCTTTATCCTGTTGCGTCAACACCTTATTAGCTGTTTTATGGGATCTTATCGGCCACCTTACGGGACAACTTCTCGTGTTCTCAAGTCGGGTAAACACTAGATTTAACAAGTCATACTGTTTGAAAGTTTATGTGGACCGTTATCTCGAAAACAATTAAAATAACCCAAAAATTCAACAACATGCTGTTGTAACTCTTCAGGAACCCGATGTTGTTTTGCCAGCTGGTTCTGCTTCACAGAACGGAAAACTTAAGAAACAAGACGTCGGCAAACCGAAGTTAGATAGGAAGCAAATCCGCTATCTCGTCATGAACGAACAGCCATCCAAAAGCAACTGTAATAACTCCATCAGTGATCTTGTTTCGAAAACCTCCCCGGATTCGCCGTCAAGTCCATCTCAATTACGCCACTCAGACCTTCATAATCCAGCCTATGGTGACTTGCCGAGGGACACAGGATCTCTTCCCAATTCATACTTTCAGTTTGTGCAAAGCCATAAATCGAGGGTCAATTCTGCGAGCCTACAGGACCTGCCAATTTTAACCGACGTCTACGCTGACCCCAGCCTTTTTACCTTTAGCAACATTAGTAAAACCTACGCCACTGTGCCCTTCGAAACTTCTCCTAAACCTTCTCAATCGCCATCAAGTGAATCACATGCACGAAACAGCAGTAAACCCCCTCTTCCCTTAACAAGTAGTCGACCACAATCCGCTGTCTCTTTGCTGTTGGATTTTCTATGTCAGGGATTTATAAATTACGATTTGACTCGCGCAGAAAGGCTTTCAACAATTTTTGAATCACAATGCGAGGATAATTTTAAACCTCTTGATCGTACTTTGTGGCAGTCTATCGGGACCTTTCTGTTATCAGATGTACAGCCAAGTAATTTAGCAAAGGCCCTTTCGCTGGAATGTGTTCAGTTGCTCATGTTGCGCTGGGCGAATTCGCCATCCACATCGGCTTCTTCTGGCCCATCTGATGGCTTTTCCCTCATTTTGTGGCCTGCTGCAAATGGATATCGTGAAGACTTGCTGAATAGGTGAGTTGCTAATTCTCCTGTCATCTGACCGCACATCCTGAACATTGTATTTTTCATCTGATTTACTTTTTGCCCATCCACTTCTTTACTTTTACTGCATAATCTTCTGTCACCGCCGACGATTAGAAAACAAAACTTATTTTTACCGGCGCCTCAACGAATATTCACTTCTTGCTTCCTACAAAACATAGTTTCAATTTTGAGACCGTCAGAGATCTAGCCACGATGTTTAGAGTCATTTGTACCGACGGATCTGATCCATTTAAAGCGCGTAATATCTCTGAAACACATTCGTAAAACTGAATGGTTCAAAGTACTTGCGTACCTTCCATTGAATCGAATGCACGTAAAGATTGGGGTGAAGACATCTTGCAGCACGTCCTACGGTCAGGGACACTGAAACTTTATTTACGATGACCTTTACGATGACCCTTCTTCTAGCGCCGTCACTGTCTTCAACATTTGAAGGGTGCAAGCTCTGCGCATGTAAACCGGAAGTTGAAAAAATTTGCGCCCAACAGTAATCCCATTTTCTCATTAGGGATCCAATTCTATTCAGTGTGTGCAAATTGTGCTTTTTGAGACCTTTTTTATGAAATGCTCACAAACATTTTTTTACCAATTATGCTGTTGTAATCAAATGGCCATAAGCATGTGAGTGGGAGTACGAGCAAAGTCAGATAAGAGAACCAAAAGGTAGGAATATCCTACAATAGGACTTTGCTCATCCTAAAATTGGCGTATTGGAACGAA